GTACTTATACTCGAGAAACTGCACCTCATCCCAATATTCATCTACTTACGCGTCTCCACTAATAATGAATAGAAAAATCGAGTTTCCGTCCTTCTTATCAAATGTACACGGTGGAGAAAAAAAATATATGTAGTTATTACACATCATCCGTACGATTATATTTATGTTGTATATATTGAGCGAAATAGAACAAGAAATAATAGAATATGTTCGTTCTGATCCTCATTCCACATTTCCTGATTCATTCTCGATACATATATAGATCAGAACTAACATATTGCATTCTTTCTTTTTTCTTCATTCCGTACCATTGATAAGAAGGACGGAAACTCGATTTTTCTATTCATTATTAGTGGAGACGCGTAAGTAGATGAATATTGGGATGAGGTGCAGTTTCTCGAGTATAAGTACAATGAGAAAGATGTGTCAATATGCTAGAGGATAAAATCGGTGAGATCGTACAACAGACTATATTTAGATTAATAATGTTTTAATTTATCAGGAAAATGACTTTTTGGATAATGAAACCAGTTGGATCAATATCAGCATTCAGAGCTCCAGTTTTCTTATAATGTTGATTGTTTCAAAGTTAGCGTTTTATTTCAACACAAATTCTACGAATTTTTTAAATTTGTTTTAGTCTATCAGAATAATGTCAAATATATTACTGTTTCTTCTAATACTGAGTTGTTATGCAAACATAAGACCTGCTGGTGCGTCAGATATTGGTGAATTTTTTCAAACATTCGGTGTTAAACTTTCCTCCGCAGCTCAATACGTTAAAAATGAATTATTAGAATTCTATCATAAAATTCGTACATTCTTCATTGGCCACAGTCATTCTACTCATCATGCAATGAAAAACAGAGGATGTGGTATTAGCGATCACGAACCAACTGTGTATGATATTGCTACAGTACCAAAAATCAAAGGTGGTGATGATGCATTGTGGCATACTTGGTCAGCAAGCTACAGCTAATATATTTGTAAATCAACTCTGTCATTATTATTTAGGCCTTGGATGGTTGCGCTGTTTACAAATCCTCGACACGGATGGAGTTGCGCTGGTGTCCTCATTAACACGGATACAATATTAACTGCTGCGCATTGTTTAGAATACACGAACACAGATGAGATGAAAGCTATTATCGGCGTACATACAATTCTAGGTAAACTAAATCCGTTGAATTATTATACAATTAGTTCAATTCATCGTCATCCAACATTTAAAAACTGTTGTAAAAACGATTTGGCTATATTGAAATTGAGCAGACATGTTCTATATGGACCGAAAATAAACTCTGTTTGCCTTCCACACATATTATTACCCGAAGTGAACGAAAAAAATGTTGTCAATAAAACAGTGGTGATTATTGGGTAACGCTTCTCTCTTTCTGATTAATAACCTCGTATTGTAAGCAAGATTATTTGAAAATTTAGTTGGGGTGATTCATCGACGAGTAAAATAACAAATTTATTTAAAAGTTTCACATTACAACAAGCAAATATTCAAGTTTTTGATAATCAACATTGCAAAAAATGGTTTCCGGGTGTTTTCGATGAGAAACATGAATTTTGTGCAGGAGATTATCAACAGCGTGCAGATACAATGGTAAGAAACTGATTTAATGTTCAATTACCTTTTCTACAGTGATAAAAAACTGAATGATAAATTTCAATTAAGTAACGCCTTCTCGTAAATAAAAAGTGGCATTGCATTGAAATAACTTTATTTTCAAAGATTTTTCTATACTTTTTTTTACTAGAGCGGCGATTCGGGTGGTCCATTACTCATTCGAAACTCTGACAATCGATGGACTGTTCTCGGTGTCACCTCTTATGGATCAGCAACATCAAACAAAGCTCCGGGTGTTTATGTGAAACTATCAGCCTATAAAGATTGGATCCAATCATATTTATAGATCTTTAATATTAATTTGTTTATACATTGGTCTACTTTGTCATATTCTATCGGACAGACTTGACTATACAAGTTTTATGAAGTCTTATAAATAACTTTTTAAAAAGTTCACTACATTCAAGTTCTATATTCAGTTTAAAATTTTCACCTTTATTGATCTGCTAAATTTTTCAAACTATTTATTTCAGAGAAGAGACCCACGAAATAGGTCATGGGACATCTTGTACACCTATCTAGTTTTTCTAGTTGAACGGCTAAGTGTGCTTTTCTATATTCATTCTAAAAAAAAGTATGTATTGTTTTTTTTATGTTGCTTCATTGCTGAGGAAATTAATTTGTTTTAAATCAACGGAGAAAAATAAGGAAAAACACAAGTATGTTTCTACTTTCATTCCCAAATTTCAAGTTTTTAATAGCTTGTTCTTGTTTCCATTCGCTTTCTGAGACTCTCAGCTACACAACAGTGAATTATTTTTGGGAAAAGTTCAAAAATAAGGGGACAGGATAATAACTAGATGGCAATCACGAGACTGGCTAATGCAGTGCGACACAAAACATTTGCACCACAAGTTTTACTGCATATCTACAATACAGTCGTACGTATAAAGGTTGTACTATACTAATGACTCATTCGTAATAGCAATCACATATGTAGATAATGATTGCATTTGAGATCAGCTGTGAAAGTAACATTGCACTATATTGAACATCGCGCCTGTATACTCAGATCAATTATCGTTTTGTTGAAAAATTTCAAAGTCCCAAAATTTCAATCGGCCTACTTTCGGATGCTCTAGAATAGATACAATACGACCAGGAAGTCTCAAAAGGGGACATTCCAACATTCAGCCACAGTTCTACCTCCTTGTTTTTCAATTTTTGAAACAGCACTTGTAGATGTAGGAAAAGTCGTCACAGAAAATGATACATTTTCGATCTAGAGATAAAACGGTGCCCATGATTGCTATAATGTGGTTATGCTTCGCACGGCATTAAAAATACTACGCTTGTCGAATGTTTCTGCTTTCATTAAAGCAACTACTCTAAACATGGTGAACGGAAAGAAATGAAACAGAATGATGAGATAAGCTAGGAGAAAACGCTGAGAGCAAAATCACTACAATCAATGCAAAAAGCGACGCAAATTACGTTGATGTAGTGATTTTCTCCTCGTTTGTCTGAACCATATTCAATCTATTCTTCTTCCCAATACTATAAGAAAAAAAAGAAAATCGCTACTTTTTGCTCTATTCTTCATAAATGGCGTTATACGAAGAAACGTTCGGTTATCTTATACACCAGAATTCAATCGACCTAGTGTACTGCAATCGAACATCTATTCGAACAACTGTTACACAAGTTTCACTAACACTAGAACAAAAGTCTAATAATTTGGAGACGAACATTTAAAACTTTTCTGCCAGAGAAAATCAATTTCGGAGGAAAACTTGTAAAAATAACTAGATTAAATTCAGTTATCAGAATTTGTCCCGTTTCTGCTGAATTTACGTGTAAATAGAGTTTGATATTAACACAGCTATTCTTTATATGTCTTCTCAATCGTAAATGAGTACTGAGGCTTGAAACATAAATTTTGAGCTTTAAACATTTATTTATTGAAAAAATTACACTTTTTCTAGATAGATAGAAATTTAGAGTTTATATAATACAAATTATGAAAATGGAAATAAAACCTTGTCAGGGCAGCCCCTTATGCGGCTAAAATAGTGAAACTCTTCAAAAGTTGTTGAATAGTTTAAGACGATATGACCACCAATTCAAAGCAATGTGACACACCAGTTTAGGATGATGTGACCGACCTATATAAGGCGATTTGACCACCAAGGGGCAGGAAGTTAAAAAAATGGCCAAAATCAAGGGTTTTCGATTATAAACTTCAACTCCTCTTCCTTTCGGAGATATAGGAGTTTCACAAAAGTTAAGTTAATAATTACTCAACAAAACAAACTATGAACTGAATGCCTGTGCTAATAGTTCATACTAAAATATACGTACGCTTATAGGTTTTTGGTAAAATATTTTTGTGTGCTACGTAACCAGAATTATACATTTTTTAGGTAGATTATTAGCGTCTATTCTGTAGGCTCAAGTATAATATTAATCAAGATCCTGATCCAAATATTTGTATAGCAAGTACACAACGTTGCTTTTGCTAATCATTTCAAGTTTAATGTAATCTATAAATCTGGCATGTTTCAAGTCTTTGCCTCCCGAATATGACAGTGGACTATTATTGACATAGAAGAGCAGCTTGAGAATTGAAATTTAGTTGTTCAGCTTGGTTCCATCACATTATTCTTTTCGTTCGAAAGAGATTCTCTCTTTAGTCAATAAATATCAACTTATTATCAAAATTCTAATAAGATTTAAATAAATTTCGTTAACGGTTTCTACTTTCTCCATGATATGGGTCTATCTATAAGATTCGACAAAGTTTCCATTTTAGAAAACTAGAATTTTTGCATAAATGAAGATAAAAGCATTCAAAATATGTTAACATTTTTTAGATATTTTCTGAAATCTGAAACAAATTGTCCACACAGCTTGGATTTATTTTTAATCGATGCTTGGAAAGCATCAATTAATCGTAGATTTCAAAAACATGCTCAAATTCTACAATAGAACTCCAACGAAAACATGCACATAAGGATGGTAACATGTGTGTATTTTTGCCCTTTAAATAGTCAATTGTCATGGTTAGTCAAATTGCATCGTTTGATTTGTATGTAGTAAAACGTGAAGAGGGTAAGACCAACAAGTCAATGCTTACAGTGGTTAAAATTCTCTCAGATTCTAAGGACGAGATATTGTTAGAAGCGGTTAGCGATACACACAGCTTTGATTTCGTTGGAGTGAACAAATTCAAATTAGCGAAATACGAGATGCATTGAATAGAGAACGGGGATCAGAAAGGGCAGGTCACAATAATTTATTTCGGTCCAAAAGAATCATAAAAGCTAAAAGCATGGAGATTATCAAACATCACTATATCATCCTTATCATCGAAGTAAATTAGAAATAAAATCTAAAAGTTAAGTAATGGATTAAGAATAATAAGAATAAGAACAACAAAATATTACGTATTTCGGAGCATTACCGTGCTTTTGTGTATCAACAGCTACTTCCAGAAGTTTGATTTATGGAATATTAACTATTCTAGAACGAGTTTTCTAACTTAATCTTCTTGAGTTTTCGGAAATTTAGTCAAAGCGCGGTGTAACAAGTGGATATTTCTGTCTGACTAGAGCTTGCAACAGCATCATCGCAAATATCTCCTGTGTAATTTACTTTTAGAATTCTAAAGTCAATCGATCATGAAGTGTCAGGTCGCATTTATTTTATTCGCTTTATATTATCTGGGCTTATTCTATTCGAGTGAACAAATTGAATTTAGGGAAATACAAGATGAATTAGATAAAGAATGGGCATCAAAGAGTCACAATAAGTTGCATGGGAAGCCACAAGAACATCGACGACGATATCCGTTTGGAAAAGAGCAGAATCCCCATGCTCATGTACATTCAAGAAAACGTCTCGGTTGTTTTGCCGAGTTTCCTGCCACATCTGTTAATATCCAGGATATTATTGGGGCACAAGTGGCACAAATATTAGGTAATTTTATCTTCAAGAATCGTAATTTCAAATTTCGTACGCTATGTCGGATGTTGTCTTTTCAGACGATGAGACATTAAGTGACGATGCACGTGAACATGTTATTGCAGAAATAGCACTTGGAGTTTCATCTGCTTTACTGTCAAAGTATGCGTAGAAATATGATAGATCGTGAATTTCGCTTCTTTTTCTTATTTTAGTACGTCTTGTGATTTAAATCACGTAAACACAGAAGATATGTAAGCTTTATCGTACATCGACTATATTATTCACTTTTTTTTATATATTCTTTTGTCTATGTTGGTTATAGAAAACACTTTTTACAAGAGTTTGAATTCCCGAAAGAATTGTGTTCATTTCGCCCTGAACCAGTTTGTGATCGTCAGGCAAAATATCGTGAAATTTCGGGTATATGTAATAATCTTGACAGGCCATATGATGGTAGTGCCGGAACAACATATTCTCGCATATTGGAACCCGATTACGACGATGGTAAGAATGCCTTCCTTCTTAGCTAAAAGATATATACACATATATAATATCTGTTTGTTTCAGGAATAGGTCAAAGAAGATCCAAGTCAAAGGCAGGTGGTTTATTGCCGTCAGCACGTGAATGCAGTTTAAAGCTATTTACAAATACAACACGATTTTCTCAATTATTTACAAATTATTTTGTCATATTTGGTCAATTTATGGTTCATGATGCAACATTTGCTGGACCAGGAAACGATAAAAATGGTAAACAAATATCATGCACTTGTAACAGTGTTGATAGTGATGGATGTGTGAACATAGCAATTCCACCAAACGATCCATTTATGTCTGATCAAAAATGTATGGCCATTCCAATAGTAGCTGAAGGGTTTCCTAATCATGCCTGTTCGTTAGGTAAAAAGAGGAAGTTCGAGAATTGCTTATATATATATGCGACGTTTCCTGTTTGTGTCTGCAGGTGTACGAGAACAAAAGAATGCAAACACGCACCATCTTGATATGTCAGTGGTATACGGAAGTAGCAAAGCATTATCAGATAATCTCCGCGAACATAACGATGGTTTATTGAGAACAACTAATGTGAAACCATTGCAAGAGTATTTGCCTACACTAGATAACGGAAAATCATGTGGGGATGGAGACCCCACAGTCAAATGTTTTATAGCTGGTGAGTGATGAACAACTCTTTTTCGTCAAATTGCTTCCATACAAATTGATATCTATAGCTGCATATTGTTGTAGGTGATGGACGTGTTTTGGAGAATCTTGTATTAACTTCCATAACGACACAATGGGTGCGTTTTCATAATCAATTAGCAAGAACATTAAAAAAATTACACGCCGACTGGTCCGATGACACGTTATTTGAAGAAGCGAAAAAAATTAATGTAGCCGTGTATCAAAGTCAAGTCTACAACGATTATTTACGCGTTTTACTTGGAAAAACTCTTTGGAAAAAACACTTTTCAAACGATAAGCCCGTTCGATATGATCCAAAAGTATGTGCAAATACTCTCTTCTAATCTGAATTTGTTCATTTCTGTCCTTTGCATGAAAAGTTTTAATTAAAAAATTGAATATTGAGATAAATATACATCTACTATCTGGTCATGATCACATTCTCATAAATCTTGGCTTCGCAGCTCATCGGAGAGAGATATTTTTATCACTTTCTTATTTAGAAATCAGCATCAGTTTGGACCGAATTTGCTTCAGCTGCAATGCGTTGTCACACATTTGTTCGTAGCTTTTATAGCCGCGCAACACGTGACTATCAATTTATCGACCAAAAATCGCTTAAAGAAATTAGCGGTCGTGCTACAATAGCTTGGGAGTAAGTATCTTTCTTTTTGAGTATAATTATAAAACTTATTTTATTTTATTTTATTTATAGCCTTGCTAATGGTGGTTTAGATGCAATAATGCGTGGTGCCGTCTGTGATTTTGGATCATCATGGGATCTCAGTTTTAGCGATGATATAAGACATCATTTATTTGAATCAACAGGAAACTTTTCTACTAAACGTTTTGATTTGACATCAATGAATATAAATCGTGCACGAGCACAAGGTATGCGTGGTTATAATTCCTATCGAGAATGGTGTGGATTAAAACGTGCAGAGACATTTGAAGATTTTGACGATTCGATAGATGATGACAGAATCCAGCAACTGAAAGATACATATGCGTACGTATATTGTAAAATCTCATATACGTTTGAACAAAGCTTACAATTTTAGTTATTTATTTCTATAGTCATCCAGATGACGTCGATTGTTGGGTTGGCATGAACTCAGAAACTCCTCTTGCTGATGGACTTGTTGGACACACAGCAGGATGTATTATTGCTCGACAATTCGTATTGTTCAGAGATGCTGATCGATTTCATTATAGACATAAAGGGGTTTTTACATCAGGCGAGTTTTTCTATGCATCTTTCACACTTATTTTTTAACTAATTTCTTCTTTACTAACCATTCTGTTTTAATTTTACAGGTCAACTTAAAGCAATCGAAAAGTACTCACACCGAAGTTTTATGTGTGATACAATAGAAACAGACACGATGCAGGCAGATCCTTACCGACCTCGCTCAATTGACGGGTAAGATTAACAGAACAAAAAATTTTATTATTAAATATTTTATGTTTCTTTTCAGAAATAGTGCGTCATCATGTAAGAAAAACACTCCGGGTTTCGATTTCAGTGCATGGAAATAAATAAATCTTTAAAAAACAATGTAATGCTAGTTGTAATTGGTACCCGTTAAGTTTTATTTTTAGAATAATTATTGGTAGTTTAACGATTATCTGAGGATGGTTTTCTAAGCACTATTATTGATATTTTTGAGTTTATCGTGTACTTACAGTCTATTCAGAGTATAAGAACTAGACACACACACACACACGTGTATATGTGTGTATTACAACTAATATATACACATATATTTTTTTTCATTTTTGTTTTGAAGTGTTTGTTTAATTGTGTGCATGTTCTACGTAATACTTTTTTTATTAATTGTTTCTGGGCCATTTTTTCAGCATATACTGAAGTAAATATTATTTTTATTAATAAAGACAGCAACATTTTCTGAAAAATAACTTATTCTAAAAAGTAATCCTATACTGCATACATTAATAAATAATTAATCTGATTCTATTGTTGTTTGCAAGCTTTTCGGACAGACTAGAAATATCATTAATGGCAAATTACAGATTACTTTTCATTGTGTTTAACGTGTAGACAGAAAATAGATTTTTCTAAATATGCGTACAAAATTTATTTTTATAAAAATTAATATACAACAACAACAACAACGATAATTGTAAAAAAAACAAATTATGTCATCTAATTGTGATAGTCTTATCAACACTAGGTTTTTCGTCTTGTCAAATGTCGATAAACAACAACTTGAATATAACGATCAGATTTAATTTCTTTTCGAACCGTGTTATCACCATGTGAAGTATCCTAAAAGTTAAATGAAAAAAAACTAGTATAACCATTATTTAAATCACACATCTTATTTGGAGTTTAAGAAAGATAGAAGATGAAGTTTTTTGTTGTTTCAGTTTAATTTATCCTTGTTTTTCTTTGACTAATAATAATGAGCACTAAACTTTCGACGTTAGAGAAAAAGAAATTCTTTTTAAAATAAAACTATATAATATTACTAAAAATTTGATAGTCTATAAAGTAATAACTGATGGTAAAATATTAGAAGAATAAGTTCTGTCTAAAAACTCAGCACAAAACCAACATTACTCGTGGAAAAAACTTTCAATTAGCAAAAAAATCCATATATTCACCTTTTGTTTTGTCAAGGTTTTTGGAGATAGATTTTAAAAAAGGTTTGTATTCCTTCAAATTACCTTAGGATTGACTATAATAATTTTTCTGTCTCGTTTGCTTTTAAATAAAAGGCCATCGAGATGATTTGTGATCAAGTGAAAATTCGGCGTATTATTTGAACAGCATGTTTGATTTTCCCAATTGTAATAACTAAAATTTACGTCTATGAATTGGAGATGTGTGAAGATAACATTTGTTTTTACCTAAGATCGCTAGGTTTGGGTTGTAATTTCTTTTTTCCAGCAAAGTAAAGTTCAAAATCTTCTGTTTTCAAGCGATGAGCATAATCAATATAACCGGATATTTCTTGTTGACGTGAATTGAAATCTCTTATAAATATGATTGACTTTAACAAAAGAGAAAAAGAGAGTTAACTAGAGATGTTGATTACATCATTAATACTGTTGATTACCGTCATTTTTCCTGTTCGATTTGCTTCTTCGGTATCAGCCAATTCCTTTAATAATGGTTCGATTATTTCTTTATTTGCACTTGCAAGTTTCCTAATTAAATTAATAAAAGTAAGATTAAGCGTATTTTGCTAAACGCCTGTTGAAAGATATTTAAAAAAATGCAAATAATTTTTAAAAACATTTTCTACTCAATATATTACGAAAAATAATTTTATTTGATGAGAACTGACGGTGCTTGAATACGACGAGATAATAGCAGAGCTTCAGCTGCAGCTTTTCGTGCTAAAAATTCTTCTCTCTTCATAACTTCGCCGCTGCCTCGGTAACCAAGTTCTACCAACTGTCGAGCCAATTCTTCATCCTTAATGAACAGAAACATTATTAATCTATGATTAGAAATATATTCTAGAGAGTTATGGCGATGTTCGTTACAGTAACTTCCCGAATATTGAACTAAACTTACCTCTAAATAACTAAGATCTAATCTTGTTACTTGAGAATCCAGAAATTCTTCATATGTAGCATATTTCATCACTATGTCAACTGCTGCAGGTAGTTCTTCTTCCATCTTACCACAAAAAGTAAATAATGAAAATAAAAAAAAATAAAAGATCTAAAACAATAAGGAAATAAAAAAAGATGCACCTAATGATTATAATACAAGTAATCATAGTTTATACACTTATTATAACGGCTTGGGTTATTAAATAAAAGAAAGTAAAATACAAAGTCAAAATTGTTAAAAAAAAAGTGAAGCCCCATACTAGTCTCGCTTCTCCCACCAATTACTAGAAATACTGACTGTGTATTTTTCTCTTAACTTTTCGCATCTCACGTCTGCTGGATTTTCGCAGCGTATGACTCTAACATAACCAATCAAATAATTTTTAAAATTTGTTTACACATGAATTCGATTCGCAGGGAACTAAACTGAGACGAAAGCCATATGCATGTGAATCTAAGATAAGTAAATGAGTAAAAGAAATCAGTTTATCTATTAAGCGCAGACTAAGAATCCATTGAACTGAGAGTCGTCATGACTATACACAGTAGGACTGTCAGAAAGATATTTATGTGCTGTACCGGTCCTAAGATACACGATCTAAACTTCAAAAATTGTATGTTCAATTATACGACGTAATATAGTATATTTCAAGAGATGTCGCACAAACTCTATGAAATTAAAAGGAGACCATATGCATTAGGTATCAACTAAACTGAGAAAGCTTCAATTAAAGTTAGTAATAAATAATTAATGCTAAAAGTTCTACAACGTATATCTTTCACTGTGGTCATGGCAATATCATGACCGATGCCGCAAACGAGAGGTCTATGTGATTCACGGCTATCATCCTTATACTTTCCAACAACCATAAAAAGGTTTTCAAAACATGTTGAATAGAGTAAAACTTCTCCCTAATGAGGAAGAACATTTTTTTCGAGTTCCTGAAATTGATATGTAACTCATTTCCATAAAGCTCTTTCTTATAAATGATGCATCTGTTACCTTCTACACAGACTTGATTAACGTTCAAGAGTTTCATTATACAACGTTCTATATTGCGCAATCGATTTTTGTTGTTTAGATTTCTTTTTATAACAACAGACAATGTTGCAACAAAAACTTGAAAACAACAATTTACCAGTTAATTATTTACAATTTCATGAAAATGCTTTTGTTAGTCCATTAAATTTGATTAACCTTAGTCAACCTCCACCATCGACTTTTGGGAAAGCGCCACATACGTTTTATGAGACACGTTTATCACCATATGATGGCCCACAGCGACCGTTAACATTACAATCGGTTGATGCAGAAAAACTAAACATGTTAACATTTTTGGCACGACGAAAATTAAAAGAAGATCGCTGGAAAAAAAAAGAGAATGATATGATAGGCGGAAATGATGGGTCTACAATAAAAAATCGACGATCAAATCTACAACAACAACGGAGAAGTTCTTCAACTCGGTCAACATCAGCAACAAACATTCCTAAAAAATCGATATTACCCAAAAAGAGTAAGAAATTACATTGATCTTGTATATTTTATTACCTTCTGTAAATTTTTTGCTTAGACGCTTCAGATATTAATTCTTTTAAAATAATTAATCGATCGGAAACGCCATCATCGGTTTCATTTTCCGTCCCAAGCCGAATTGATACAACACCAACATTATCTATTTCTGATATATATGAAAGCAAACAACGAGAAATTATAGAATTACACAAAAAATTAGTTTCCTTTTTGAATGTTTTACATAATGATCCACCACAAAGAGAAAATATTATTGATGAGACGGAGCAAGAAAAACAACGAAGAATAAGATTAAAACGCGAGCGAATTCGACGTGATTTACGAGCAACATACAATTCACATACAGAATTAAAACAAATATTGATTGAAATGAAACAACCCGAAGCAAATTTGGTAGGATTTTTTAGAAAACTACTTTTGTATTTGTAAATAGTAGAATACGTTGCATAAATCTTTTGTTAATGACTTTTCAATGAGATGACTCAGGCCCAATGTCTTCCCATGCCTTTTATATTAAAAGACATATTAACACTCAATAAACTTATTTTGTTTTTCAGCATCGTTTGATCTATCGTCATGTCAATGCTTATAAAACGGCATTATTGACAGTTGAAACGTTAACAAACGAAGCTCCAATTAAATCTAATGATTCATCTGCTCAAAAATTAATGATGTCGTTTTTGTCTATGTTAGAAACATTGTTAATTGTTAATAAAGCATTTCATCTATCATCATTAAATATTGATCCAGAATATTTGCAGCCACCACCGGTGAGAAAATCGATAATCAACAAAAACTTTCAGCAACCAAAACAATTTGAATCAAAATCGACAAAATCACGTGGTTTTATCGTAAACAATGAGCAAGACGACTCATCTAATCTCTTACCATCGATTTATCATGAGTTAGTGAAGAAGAAAAATCGCAATGAAAGACCTCGATCGGCATTGACCAATCATCATTCTGTTCCATCCGTACTGTATGGTGATCGTCAACGATTGCGACCACTTAGCGCGGACTCAATACGTCAACGATTACCAGAAGTGTCAAAAAAAAAACAGCAAAACTTTGCCCGCTCAACGATATCCATAGAAAATAAAATAAATCGACGTGCAAGAAGTCATTCACCATTACCTTCCCACATATCGCCAACATCACCACCTCGATCTACCGGATATTCGCAAAATGATATAGTTACAATTGATCATATTTTGATGAAAATTGCTCCACGTTTATTAACCACTTATACTGGTCAAGAATTATCTGAACAAATTGAAAAAGCTCGTGTTATTATACCAATGTTTTTAACTGATGAATACCTTAGTGAAAATGAAATTGTACGTCGAGTCACAGAAATGCTGATTCCAAGAAATCGACAGAGAATACAACCATCACCACCACTGACCCATTATCAAGTTCAACAGACGCTTGATAACCATTCTCAATCATCCGATATTGCTATATTTCAACAGCAAATTGTCGAATGGGAAGACGAAATGAATAAAATTAGACGTCGTGTTCAGAATGTTAAAAATATGGAATTAGAAGATCCGATAAAATCTAGTTCGAAACAATCGCGAACAGTAACATTTAATCTAGAACCACAGTCAACACCAGAACAAATCTATCATGATGACAATGTTCAGATTCATCCACCGTTGTTTGAACAAGCATCCAATGATACCATGGAAAAACATCGTTTATCACCATTGTCAAATCACAGTCGTCCTACTGCTTTTGAAAGAAGTCATAAAATGAAACGTTTACGTCCATTAGACAAGGAAAAAATTAATCGAATTGAGGAATATCAAAAACAATATCAGAATTATTTATCACGTACTGATTCGACGAAAACTGATGATTTCGACCCCTGTAAAGTAACAGAAAGGTAAATAACTGATTATCTATCTTTTGCGTCGTTGATGTCATCTAATCTTTGATTATACTCTGCTTTATCTAGATTATCGGAACTGTTCTTAGACGACGCACTATGGACGATTGTATATGAACTCGAACACTTAAATGAGGAAATTTGTGATAAAATGACCCAAAATGAAATACTTGGCAATGATATTGATAAAGAACAAGTAAAGGAATTGATTTCATTCAAAAGATTAGATGACTATCATGTTGAACAACAGCAACAACAAGTTAAAAAAAGAATATCGCCAAATGAGTATGATCGACACTATTCACCCGTTGAGAATCAATATAATATGTCAAGCTTTGAAGATGATTTTAACAGTGAGAGCAAACTGTCACGATCAGATGATGAGTATGAAAAGGATAGACGAGAAACAAAACCAAAAATGGAAGGTACTGGCCGTTTTACTACTATGCAAACAAGACATTCAACGTCCTCTTCGTCCTCACGTTCATCTACTCCTTCGTATAACATAAAACCTGCTATTATTCTTCGACCAACGACCATTGCTACATCCAAAACAACTTATTCATCTAATTCTCAACGACAAGAACAAACTATTATTAAAAAATCATCAGGTCGTTCTTCAACTCCCTCTCTTTCATCTGACCGCGATTCGCCTAAACCACATCAAGGAAAGAAAAGAATTTCTCAACATTCGGGCGACGATAATATTCATGTAAGCGAGATAACAGGTGAACGTGTCTACTCGTTAGACTTTGATGAAGTTGGTGCAGGTGGTAGTGAGATGGGTGCAGATACAATGAAAATATCAGCTCGCTCATTAACTACATTCGATCACGATTCTGAGATAAGTGACTAAAAAGATCGTTTCTATATAAATTTGCTGTTTTGATATTACTGTTTCAAGTTCAAATTTCTACTGTATTATGAAGTATTTTTTTGTAGTATTAGCTGAGCCCTTTTATATGTGTTTATTATCCTGTTGTAATTTTCGAATATATCTTAGAGGAAGAACGAGTAGTGGTATCTAGAACATATTCTACTATTTTGGAGAATTTCTACAAAAACAAATGGTTAATTTGCTCATGTTGAACACGAATATCACCTTTAAGTTTCGAAAAAATATGTTTTTTATACATGAGGAAAAACAAATGGAAAAATATGGCAATATGGCAAATATTTGCTCTTTGAAGCATATATAAATAAATTACAGATTAGCGATTAAAAAACGTATTTTTAGCGTTATTATCCAACGACACCGTGAACTAATGTAACCTTATACGAAGTAAACAACAACGAAAACTGTGGCCACAATCAAATATTTTCAAAATTAATTCGCGTTTCTAGCATACTAAACGGTGTTGTTTTTTTAAAATAAGTGCCATAATCGTGATCAGCATACAAAACTGAGCCTGACTAATCTTTCTCTGTTAATTATTGGAAGTTGCTAAATATAATTTCAAATGGATTGTGGAGATCAATAATGTATCGTTAGTAAATATTATTCAATTAATGTTCTTTACAAATCACATTGTAATTTATTTGCAAGTTTTCAGTTAAAAAAAAAGACTTTTTACAAGATTGTGTCAATATAACATTTTATTTGTCAATCAGTGTTCCGCGAATGTTTGCACGTTTCGCTTCAGCTTCTTTTCGAGCAGCATCTTCAATTACTTTTCGCTTATTCATGCCTTTTCGTTCCAATTGTTTTTCAATAACACGAGCATTTTGTGTATACGAATTGGCAATTTCTCTCTGAAATTAATAAAACAAAAATAACTTTTAAATTAATGTAAGTAATAAATAACATACAGCTTCTAATTCTTCTTCTTCTTCATCTAACGTTGACACTGTCACAGAACTTGTTTTGCCTCGATCTTCTCGTTTAATATTTTTAATAACCTACATAAGGATAAAACAAGACATAGTATAAATAATGAAATGAAATTTTTTTTCTTTAGTCTGTTGACAACATACTTTTTTCGGCTCACTAGCCAAAACTTGTGAATAAACAGTCGACGAATCATTTGCTTTAGTTGATACTGCACCGTCGATAATAAATGTTATATGACTATTTTCTTGATGTTGATAGTACAATGGTAAACCACATCTGATTAGAAGAGTGAAAGATAATAATTCAAAGCTAAGTGATTAAAACTTACTTCAGACATTTTTTTCTGTATTGTTTTTCGATTCCATCGGGTCTAAAAAAAAGTAAATGTTTCGTTGTTCATGCTATATAACATCTTTCATCAGATAAAATGTTTGTCAGGTATCAAATAATTATTTTCATATAAATGATCTCTATCCAGTTAACTATTTACTGGAATGCATGTAACCGTATTTTCTATTTCTCTTTTCGATAAAACTAGTTAGATAAGTGTCGTTCAGTTCTCCACCGTTTGGCTTGTCCAGCTGTGACAAAAATATATTAAAGCGATCAAGACGTCAAAGAGATAGTGTCTGTATCAATAGGTTTTCTAAAAATATGACAAACCTTTACTATCCTTCAATTTAATCAACTAAACATTTTAAAATCGAAATATATTATGAATTAAGAGCACCCTCCTGTCAGAAATACAAAGTTTTTGTAAAAAAACGGATACTGAACTAAGCACCGACGAATAGTACTAAATGTTTGCTGTCAAAGTCATAATAATCTAGGCTTCGCTAAAAGCTTTCATTGGCTTTTGATAAAGTATTCTCAAAGATTTATAAAGGTGATTTGCTCGAGAGCAGAGTCGATAGAAAATCAAAGCCAGAGACATTTTCAAGATGCCGGTTTGTACTGTAACAAGAATAAAGTATATAAGTTCACGCCTGCCTTCTTTCTACAAATGACCAACCAAGTCTAATTAGATCAACAAATATTTTAGACCTTCTATCTAAGGGTGGATAGAAAAGTTGTTTATCATGATATTTATCAAAAAAAGTTGTCATCGGTAATATCAGCTAAGATAACACACAGCGACATGTGAGCATTCTGATTATATGAATAATTTGAAATACAAGCATACCTTCTTCGAATATAAGCCGGTTCATCATCTTTACAGAATTTTTTATGTGCATGTTTAGATGAATCTATGACACGAGCACGATCTCTTGAACGTAACGGAAGTTGATCAACAGAACAATCTAAAATGATAGAAAAATAAACAGCTTCTTAGATTTTCGAGTTTTGAAGTATTATACCCAAAATTAAAGCCAATTGTGAACAAATACAATAGTAGATATGTGGAGGATTGTCCTTGTATTCCTCTTGGTCATCATCTCTGATAACAGAATTTTTTTGCAAATTGGATGCCATATTTTATAATATTACAGAAAATCTAAAAATAAAAAATTGTTCATATTAAAATAATTATCGATTCGAAGTCAACAGCTTCATTAAAATGAATAATCTTTTATTCCAAGTGCAAGACAAAGAAAATAATAGGGTTCTTCTACAGCTCGATCACACCCCCTACTGTGGTGCGTGTGTGATCAATCTGTAGAAGTATCAATAATAGCAATGAAATGATAATTTGACGAGGACATTCAGCAGAGTAGAGAACAGCGATGTAAGTAATACAAAAAAATATAACTGAAGTGATATTAAAACACGAATTTTGTCATCGATTATAAAATTTTCCATAACTAGAAAAATATAAAAAAAATATCAGGTCCATTATTTATAAAGCTAGAAGCATTACATATAGTATCACGCAGGATGTCAACGGTAGGCACTTAGCACAAATGCAATCGTTATCTGACATCTGTCATCAACAACAAACAAAGTTCCAAAAATCTTCGAGTTTTTAAATTAAGTTTTTACAAAAAACAAAACTATTTTCTTCATAAGTAGATTTATGTAACGGTGTAGCAATATAAAAACGAAAGGAAACAACTGGTTGGTCTTCAAGCCACCACTCAAACGGCAACAGTTATCCACTTCACTGATGTGAAATACTGAGAAATCTATTATTTATGATTAAGCGAGTATAATGCTGTGATCACACCATTTAGATAACTTGTTTCCTGCTAGTTCTTAATTTTTTCCGTCAAAGATAGCCGTTATCGAATATAAAAGGTCAGTTTAAATCAAAATGTGTAAGGATAGTGTTTCTGACAATCGGGACTATCAACGTATTTTGGCATGAAAAATGTCGACGGTCCTAATTGATGGAAAAAAATTATCGGATACTTGCCTTGACTTGATTTATAAGAAAAACGGAAAAGTAAGTTTAATATATGAAATATATAGTTTTTGACTCATCAAAATGTTTGGATGTTGCTGGTAAAATATATTTTTTACAGGAAAAAACGATCATGCATTTTAAATGAAGTTGCTAATCTAACATCGGCTATTATTTTACTATGAACGACTTCTTATTTGTAAATGATGAATTGCCCTCAGGATTTACCATTCACGAAACAACCGACCGAAATTTATCAGAAAAACATCTTATCTTAGAAAAATGAAAAGCAACTTAATATTGGTGGAATGAAGAGATTCTATATATGAAAATCCCTACTATCAACATTAAATTTGGTAATTTTACATTGATAGTAGAGATTTTTGGATGCCTTCATTTAACCTTCATATCCTCGATTCTTTTTAGATTACGGCGTAGTAGACTTATCACGGTGTAATTACGAAAATGGTGAAATTTTCGACATAATTACGCCGTAATAAAATGGTGCTGTATTGTCATTTTTCGCAAACTAAAGACTATTGGCTTGAAATCAGTAATTAATGACCTATAACTGTTAAAAGAATGAATTCATCTTTTGCAGACAATTGCATGTTTCACCTGGTACAATAGTAAATTAACATCTTTACCGTTACATGGAACATTTTCCCTGTGGCATTCTTCGGTAGGGAATAATTACCTAGCACGATAAGATAGATTTTCTTGTGGAAGTTTTCTAGAATTCCTCAAAAGATCTATCGTCTATTCGCACTCAGAAACAGCAGAAACACATAATTTTAGGCAGTTTGTCAGTTTGAACACGAACCCTCTTATGATACTAGTCGAGTAGAGTTTCTAGGGTAAAATATCTGAAAGCATTGATGTGGAGTTCCGAGAAAGTCCAGTCTAAATATGACATTTCATAAGGAGCATGATGCCTTTCGGATTGTATAAGTCATTAGCAAAATAAATTGAGACTGATTCTTGCTTTATCAACACAAGTGAACTTCACTTTAATCATAAAAAAACATATACTTGCTTGACTTTATGCGAGCTGTTATGATCACAAGGATACCTCTATAAGACAAAGAAATGAAATATCTCTGCTTCTTCAAATTCTTATAAAGGTATGAGAAGAGCAAATAAGAGTAGAACAATTGACATTTTTTATACTAAAGCAGTTTTGAAAAAATCATTTAGAGGTAGCATATATTGATGCTTTATTAATCATATCGAAATTATGAAAGAGTGACAAAACTTTGATTTTTTCATAAATTTTCCCCTGGATTACGTTACTGCCACCGACTTCTATGCTTAGCCTATCCGATAAAGTAGTCGATCATAGATTTTAGTGATATCTAAGTTTAGATGGTCTCCCACAAACAGTCGATTTTCCTTCTTAAAGGCATCTCGTGGCTTTATTCTTGCAACTATAGGTAGGTTGTTATATTGTGCTTAGATCATTAAAATCAACTGCAATTATTATACAACGTTTGGAGAAAATATGGATTTATAGAAAATCACTCTTAACAGGAAAAAGTTATTGCTCAAAATAGGCTGTCTGTTCTTTATTTTCTCTATTAACCAAAAGCAAAATTTAGACTGTAAAAGCGATAATGAACGGGAAAAAGGATGTCAACATCAGTGACTATTGTGTAATCAGCAGTCCAGAATCTATCCTATACACCTACATCCTTTTTTCAAATATGTTTTTAGATGCTATTCGACTTTGAGAACATAAAAAAAATTATATACCTAAATTCGATTTCGATGTATAGATAGAGGAAAAAGCAATATCTTAGAAAGGTCAGTTTGATAAAAAAAACTCGTCCTTGGGAGTATTCTAGAACGGTGATGTTATACTGAAACTTTCAGGTTGCTCGAGCTAAATTCTTGTATGTTAGTAGACGTTCTCATATAAGTAACCTGAAGTTTTTTGGCAAAAAATCATCAGACAAACGTTTTCTTACATAAAAGAAGCAAAAAAAATGATCTAAGTTATCGATGGAGTAACGTTTAGCTTCTTGCCGAGAAAAAACAGTAGCTTTCTGCTATGTATATGCGTGTGTGTGTGCAGTTATTATAATAAAAAAATGTCTAAAAGCACACGTATATCTATTTGTATTTGAATTGAATGTCGTGCTCAATCTTTATATCATATATAGGATGAGACAAAGAGATGACAAAAAAATATGAATATACGATAATTATCAAGTATATAATAAAAATGAAAGTTTCTGCATGCATGAAAACTTTTTTCTCTCCCTATTAACATACGGCTCAACATGGCATGATATATGTCAAACACCTTCTATAGGTCAGTGTTCCAGAACATACAGATATAGCGTATCAAAATTTTCGTAATAATTCTATGATGAAACCAAAGTGATACGATATTTTTCGTATAATCAACAACGAAAGATAATGAAAAGATCATTTTCTATGAGTTTATCACAATTGTCTTTCGTTAATAAGACTATGAAGTTGTCAACTCGCACGTTTGTTGTACAATTAAAGCATTCGTGTTACAGTAATAAAAACTTCTCCTACACCTACACCTTGAACTATCGAATTAAGATCTTTAGATTTGAACAAAGCACTTATGCTATAAAGTTTCATGATGCCTTCTATTTATAGAGGCAAGATGGTTTTTTTTTATCTTTTCTCGCATGGCATTGATTAATTGACGATAATACATGTTTTTCATGCATGGTTTGATTTTTTTGTTTCTTGAGATGCAGTAAATGAAGCGAACCGTTTCATGGTCTCTAGAGGTAACAAGCGTATTTCTGCATAACTGAAAAAAAAAGAATAGAGAAGTAAAGAGTAGTACCACCATTGCAGATCATCATATATATAGTGCCATATGAACGAATCGCTTCGTTACGGATAGACGAATAATATCACAAAACATTAACACACTCTCCTGTTTGCGGAAACACATCAAATGCTTTCGATCAAAAAAAAAAAGAGAGCAAAGAGAGGCATAGATGAAGGGCGAGTTTAATAAGGAAAGAAGGGAGATATAGATATATACGGTTGGGAAATTCTAATGATAGACTTTCTCGATAAGTGTCTCTTTATCTTTGATACACTAAACTGAAGTTTTGCATGAATTTATTGCAGTCAATGAGCTGAGAAAAGTATAGAATCGAAAGAGAGTGTGCCATGCAAATGAAGCGAAAAGAGAAGTAGAGAAAAATGCAATCATCTTATAAAAAAAACTTTACCTATGCCGTTTGATAATTGCGCGTTCTAGGAATTTTTTGCAAAAAAAACTAACAACAGAAATATTTTAAGGTTATGTTGAGAAGATCTTATTATTCTATTTAATTGAGGGTATTTTTTTATCGTCAATAAGACAATGAAAGAGCTCACTGTATAAAAAAGATTTCTGTTAAATACACATATTCTGATCGCATAACTTGAACTTCTAGGAAACTTTGAATTATTGAAAATAAATAGAATCTCTCATTAAACTATTGTGAATTGTGATGATGCATTTATGACAAACCATTTTGTGTCACTCACTAACATCATAGGAATCGTTACTAAACAAACATCGCTAAAGAAATTGATTTTTCTTAGTAAAATATATAATATGTGATCTTCTTTCTCCTCTGCTCCGGTAAGTACTGTCTATATATATCTATATATATAGGTATATATGTAGTAAAAAAAAGAAAAAAATGACGGAGAATATTTATTATGAGTAAAATGCAACGCACCGAAACGAACAGAACAAACGAAACAAGACAACGAAACATTATCTCTCATTTATTTTCATACTATAGATACAACAACGGCAACGGTGTGTGAGTGTGACCGATCTGTTCTTTAAGAAAAAGAGAGAGAGAGAGAGAGCAACAAAAAAGACGTAGAACAAGAATATAAAGTAATTCAACCGCGCATTAGAAATTACTTATTACAACGTGATACGCGGTGAGAACAATTTAAATTTTTTCTTTGTTATATCTAAAAATTATTCAACAGTATATCGATATTTCCATAGGTCCACACCCGAGAAGAGGATATTATAAAAGGACAATAATTTTTTGTCAGTTCTGACAATTATTACAGACAGAAAAAAGTATATACTGGCAACGTCCAAACAGACTGTTGTAGATCCTCACTTTTTGTCTAAATGAAATCAGTAGAAGTCCTTTACACCATAGGATATAATCTTATTCTGCCAAAATAACTCATACAAATGCACGTGTTTCTAGTTTCTTACAAATAAGTATTCAAGTCTGAAAGATATCCCATCAATAGGAAAATATTCAACAAAATGTTGACAAGTGAGATATATAAAGAAATTGATTTTCTGGATTGTTTTAGATTTACTTGATAAGTGTATTTAGTAGAAATGTAGATTCATTTTGTAATACAAACATGGCATAGCGAAGCTGAGAGAAAAAGAGAGAGGGTAACTAACATAGGTATATAATGTATACATGTTTGTGTATACAACGTTCCTATTTTTCTTCTTTTTTTTTTTTTGTTTCTTCTCATTGCGATGACATTATCTTAAACAAATACAGGTGTATAAATGTCATTTTTCTGTTGATCTGAGCATTCATCGTAGTATAGAGAAAAAAGTATTTAAACAAATTTGCATTCAAATACCTCCTATTTCCTTCTCTCTATCTCAATTCAACTTCATTATAGATTGAGAAAAATACTTCATTTTTCATTCTCTTTTGTTGTTCACATGCAGAACGAATTATACATTAGACTTTCTCATACATAGTTGTGGCACCATAATATGTTCGTGCATCACTGCATTTCATTTGTCGCACGTCACTGACTATGCTATTATCAACGTCGTTCTCACCACTCAATAATATCAGGAGAAGAAAAAACACAGCAAACGGGAACAGAAAAGAAAGGCATACACATAGGATATTTAGAGACACATCACTGATAGAGACGGAGTATATAATAAATGGAATAACAAGACTAATAGTGCATGATAGTGGAAAAAAAGTAAGTCATTCATAGATCATCATATCTGTATACATGATTTTTTATATTTGATATTTTAATGAATAAATTTTTTAACTAACTTCTTTTTTCAACGTCGTAATTTTAACATAAAAAAGTTCTTTGAAGTAACTTTTTTTTTAAAGCGGAGATGATAATATTTAACATATGTATAATAATATATAATAATCATTTGTCTCATTATTATAGAAAAGTACTCATTCGTTTAGATTCTTTTTCTATTTCTGCGTTCTTTATGCAAGACTTATGGCAAAAGATCCGTGACCATCATCAATATAGTTGGAAGAAATAAAAAAATCTATCGCGTCGCACACGAACAAAAGAACAACAGAAAAAAGAAAAAAAGGTATTAGTTTAATTTCTCCTCGGAACACTGCTCACGAAAATTTAATAGTATTCATTCATATATCAGTGCCGACAAAAGAAAACAAGAAAAAATCAAAACAAATTTTACCGTGATTAAGATGAAAGATTGATAGTATATGTGTTTGAAAATGACACGTGGTATGTAGAACATCAAAGCTTTTTTTAATTGTCTACAATTTATTTAGTACATCCTATTGAGGTAAGCTCACCTTTACTTATTTAATTTTTTTGACAGTAACACTGTGGCAGCATCAGGGCTCATTCTGATTCTTAGAAAACACGTTTGAATCGGTTCTACTTTTGACTAAAATCGATTGATTATTAAGCTTTTTTTTGAAGTACACACAAGGTATATAAGTTATCAGATCAGTTACGGAGTTATTGCATTTCGATTGATTTTTTGATAGAATTGAAGCGAAACGGAAGCGATGCGTGCGAATGATGCTAAGCTTCGTTACTTTTGTTTCGGTTTGATAAGCATGATAATGAGTACACACACATATGGATATATATATATGAATATATGAATAAGAACAAACAGGGTGAGATGAAACGAACATTATAGATATCGGTTGCTTGTGTGCATAAAGCTAATAGTAAAGTATGATGTATGCCCCAGGTTTAGATATGCCCCATAAGTAATATTAAGGCGAAAAAGAGGTTGGCTATCATCATGCCTGTCTGAATACGATAGTCAGAGGTATCATCTCTTATAGCCAAGCATATGCTCCTTCTAAGTAACAAAACTGATTTCATGCGCATCACTTCATTATCTAATTCGGTTTATACTTTATATACGTTGTTCTAATTGAGTTAAAACATCGTCTATATTCTGAAATTAAGTAAAGAGCACGATCGCAGATAAATGAGACTCATATATTATACTCTGATAGGTGAGTACCAAACTAAATGTTTTTTTTTCGCGCGATTTTGAACATCACATGTGTATGCTTAATCCAAAACGTTTTTTTTTCTTCTTCTCTACATCTCTATCTTTACGTAAGAAAGGATTAAGATCATATGATGCATATCAACCATTCACATTCTATTGAATGATGAACTAGCTATCCATAGTTAAACATCAGTGACATTTTAGATTAAGTAGAAAAAACTGAGTGTCACGTTCATGTATATTCACTTTATTTACATATCGGAGTACTGCAAATAACAATTATGTGTATCTCAATGACTCGCATTGTTGACAACAATTACGTGACTCTTGTTTATAGTTGTATCTATCGAAATGTATGACTACTTCTGTATGTTTTGTCAAAATCTATTGGCGAATGAAAAATTTAATCAGAGTTTTTTTTTCTTGTCAGAAATCCTCACATTGAATTTCATTTATTACTAACATAAAGTCATTTGAGAATTTCTAATTGGTTCCACTTCGATCGTTTCAGTTATTTTGAAATATGGATAATTCTTTTACTTCAAGCTGTAGTATCTACCGTATATTCCTATAAAACAGATTTTGGTTAGGTCAACTTTAAGTAGTTCTTAAGACATTTTCTTCTACACATCTATAACCCATAATCGAGTACACAGCATGAAGACTTCGGTCTTCTCATATCTCAATGACTCTCAGTTAACGTATAATTTGTTTAAGTGCTATCGAAATAATTTTTTAATTTTTTTCTTTTTTGTAAACATTAATTAAAATGTTGACGTTGTGGGTTACTTGATGAAATGATGATCGGTGATTTTTTTTTGTGTGTATGTGTTCTATTTTTTTCTTTCTTTCTGTCTCTTTTTTTTTTCCTATACCACAACGGAGCTGAGCGAACGATTACTCGCTGTACACATACTTTCGTTTTCTGTTTTTATTTTCACGGCCATCATCATCATCATCAATAGATTTCTTGTTAAACTTCATGTGTGAGTGTCGATCATGTAGAACAAATATAGATGAAAAATATCTACAAAAAAACCTAAACAACAAAAAAGAAAGAACCCATTTGTACTATCTAGGTTAATACCGTATATATATATATATATATATATATTATAATACAGAAAAAAAGAGGGAAGAAATCTTCGTTCCACATGATGAACAACATTTTTCAAACATATAATCATTCGGTGTTCTTTTTTTTTCTCTTCTTCATTGCTTTGTATGCCAATTTTGGAATATTAAGGTGAAATGAAAAATATCATTGTTGCTCATGCAGATGAAAAAGCTTTTTTGTTAACAACAACGAAGTTTTAAAACGGAAATAATTTGGATTGCTTCGTTAAATATTTCTTCGTTACGGTTACCCAAATATGGTTAAATTGACTAAGTTCGTGATCTATTGAAATTATGATGGTTGTTACTAACTCTATCTCTCAATCGAACCTGATTAATAAATGCTTTGCATGATGAATTGTATAGAAAGAAATAAAAAACTGAACTGCTGCTATTTTCTTTCCTTTTTCTTATTCTATCAGCACATGTATCTACCTACACACAGACATACACATATATGAATAATAATAACTCTAGAAGAGAACTCGTGCGTGAACAAATCGATCGTTAATGAGACCGCGACTGCATAAAATGTTTCTCTCTGTAAAAAAAATGTCTTTCGGCAAATAATGGTAATCATCGACACATGTTTGATTATGGGTACTCTCGATGTGTTTGTGTGTTTATATGTGACGGAATTTTTTATATGAAACAAAATGTATGTAGAGAATAATAAAAAAGAAATTCTCAGGAATCTAAACCATCCAACCGAAACGTATTTTTTCATAAGCTTAAGAAAGAAAATGTTGCTATAATTATGTGAATGATATACAAATTATACTTCTGTGTGACCTCTTTATTTTGGTTGAATTAAGAAACAGATCATCTTTTTACTAGTATCTCAACGGATTATATATCTGCTATCCGTCTCCTAATGTGGTTGTAATATCATAAGAATAGTAGAATGATCAGCTATGATTCAAAGAAAATTTTAATACAAAGTGAAATTTTATAGTTGTTCTTATTCAATATATCTTTCACATTTTAGACAATGATTACAGATTAGTATAGAATGTTGATTATTAAGTATGGCACATACTCCTGTACTATCAACGATTAATGACTACAATTCAGCTACAGTAACACCAATAAACGTTTCAATGATACAAGAGACTATCTCCGATGATATAATAGACAAACGAAAGACTACAGAAGAATTGTCTACAGAAATATTGATTAAAAGTGAAAATGACACAACAGCATCACACTGGATTAAAGATCAGAATAATAACAATAATCAGACTCAATATGAGCAAAAACAACAGCAAGAAGTAGAAAGATTTAATCATGAAATTCAAGATGATGATGATGAACTTGATGAAAAAAAACTACATATAACATCTACTACTGATGAACAACAACTACAAGTGGACAACGACAGTAACACAAACAGTATGTGCCTATTAGTTTCATAGACAATGAAAGGTGTTCTAGTTGAGAATTTCTATGCCAGAACGTTCATTATATTGAACAAAAATCTGTATCTCAAAATCGATACATCGCATTGTATCTCAAGTTTTTTCGCAACGTATCATTTTCCATATCTGATTATTTTTCCATTGTTCAGTAGTAAGTGATATAACATACTCTGAACAGGTAGCTATTTCCTGCTGAGTTCCCCAAGCAGTATCACGAAAAACCAAGATTCATCAGTTTAAAAGCCGTGAGCTTTGACAGCCGTTATGTCAACGTTTTTGAATATTATTTAGACTTAGTGACACTTATCATTTAAACTTAGACACATCAGCAAAAGATCAGGCGATCCATATTGTCGTGACTATTACTCTCGTGTCTTTGTTTAGATAAAAATCGCTTTTGTTCATCGTCAATTAATCAATTAGGCGGTGAGTTCATCAATGGAAGGCCATTACCAAGTGACACACGTGAAAAGATCGTAAAATTAGCTGAACAGGGTGTAAGACCTTGTGAAATAAGCCGTCAGGTTAGTATCCGATAAAATTTGTGTTTATTAAAAATAGGTGAATATTTTTCACATCTTTTTTAATCTTTAGTTATCGGTTAGTCACGGATGTGTTTCAAAAATCTTAAAGAGGTATGGTTAAATTTTCATCTGTAGTGATTTTCTTTGAGATTAACTACAATGTGTTAAAAAAAATTAAATCTTTTAGAAGAAACAAAAAACCTACGACAGGTACTTTTCTAGAAAAACAATATGGTGTTGGATATTATACTGACTGACTGTAGCATGATCCCATATAGGTTTCAGTCCTGTAATAATCTAAGTTAAAAACAGAGTTACCGTTAATCATATAAACAGAGATAAATTGAGCCTATTCTACCACTACGAGCAGCTAATAATTAAGGTTCCTATGCTGCTTTGCTCTGGAAGAACTTATTGACAAAGAAACAATCGTATATTAACAATTACACATTTGCTGCTCATTATTAAGCACATATTACTAGTTGTTGCATGCCTTAGCTACATAAATATTTTCATACTGCTTCTAAATACAGAAGGTGTGCTTAATTTAGATTCCGTTTATTCGGTACCACAGCACCGGGTCTTATTGGTGGTTCGAAACCTAAAGTAGCTACGCCCGAAGTTGTTCGTCGCATAAGAGAATATAAACTGAATAATCCTCAAATATTTGCATGGCAAATAAGGGAAAGTTTACAAAAAGAAGGCATCTGTTCTACTGAAAAATTGCCAAGCGTCTCTTCCATTAATCGAATTGTACGTTCGAATCGTCGAATTGTGGTTAATCCAGATGGAACGATTAATGGTAAACCATAGATTTTAGTTAATTGATGAATATCATAACGCATTTACTCTTTTTTTTTGTAGAAGTCGATTCTGATTTTGATTTGTATGATAGTGATGATGAAAATTCAGCGAAATCTGAGGTATTTATTCGATTTTGAATACTAAGTTGTGTTTAATGTAATGATATCATTTTTAGCGTGCTAATGCTTCGTCGCCATCATCAGGATCTGTTGGTTCATCGCCACGTGCGGGAAATATTCGGCATCGGGGAGATTGCCGCTGTGATTCTTGTGTGAAAAAATACAAATTTTCACCCTGCAACAATAAGTCAACAAACGGAGAAATTGTTGATGGAATTCACGCAAGTGAATTGGAGAATGATAACAAATGTAAGTTCGCTAACGGATGAGTAGGATAAATCTTCCTTTTATTTTTTACAGTCTAGTCTTAATTTTTTTCTAACAAATTTCGTTTTATACCATAAAATAATAGATTGTCTGGGAGATATAGCAAAGTTTCAGCAATCTCGATTACTTCTAAACTGTTTAAAAAAGTTTTTCTCAACACTGCACGATACATTGAGTTAAGAGTAAAATGTATATTCTGGTACCCCGAAATGTCCATGTGTCTCAAAATGATGATTTTGGGCGAAATCGAAAAAGGAGAGAAAGTTCTCTTCGGTTACTTTTAACTTTGAAGAATTTCAAAAAATATTCAGCTAAAATGACTAACTATCTGACTGTGAAAAATAGAAAAGTTATTCTAAAAATATGGCGAGAGAAATTTATTCTAACCCATTCATTATTTTTATCTGAAAACTGATTGTCATAATAATTATTGTATTTTTGTTTCGTCTAGCACCATATAATCATCAATTGTTAGATGAATCAAATTTGAACAGTATCGATCTAGACTTTTATTCAACAACGAATAAAATATTTGAGAATGAGCCTGGTGAATTAAACTTAAAAGCGGTTAGTAAATGAAACATTTATAGGTATATGACAATTTTATTATTTTAATTTCTTCTTAACAGCCACCACCAGCTCACTGTCGTACAAAACTTTCTTCTATATTCACATCTTCTCACGATCATCCACTTGATTTATCTATCACAACAACAAATCACAATCACAAACAAAGGAAAAAACAATTGAAACATAATCCTCTTTCTGATACATTTCAAAATGAACCATTAAACCTTTGCTCGGAAAGTAAAAAACGACCAACAAACGATATCATTTCGTCACCATCGTCAAAACGTAGTTCAACAAACATTCCAAATAATCTCACAGATAAATTACAAACGCATTTATTATCGGACAACATCTCTTTACACCAACAACAACAGCAGCCGCCAGCAACATCACTCCCAACTTTCTTGCACAGTGTATTTGCTCAAAATTCGTCACATCCAGTGTTTTTACCGTTCTGGAATCCACTTCTCGATGCTCAACAACATCAACAATTATTCCAACAATTACAACAACACTATTCTCAGCATCATCATCAGAAAGATGTAAAAACATCGATAGCAAAATGAACAGTGTTTTTTTTCTCTTCACAACCTCTTATCTAGTCAAGAGTATCACGTTTCAATATTTATGTATGCATTTAAACAAAATCACGAGCATCACATATATTCACGTATTTATAATCCCGAGCTACCTACTTCTAAGAACTATTCACGTATTTTCTCTTGTTTCTGTTTGTATCTCAGTGTAATTGTACTCGTTAATTTTGTTTTCTTCATAGGGAGAGTTTGTTTACTCCCTTATTTTTTGTTCTGGAATAAATATGTGCCATATATAAAAACCACTGTCTCCGATCCATCAAGCCTTCATAGTCCAAAATATATATTGCACATTTGAAACTTCTCTCAGGATGCCCAGTCGTTTTTGGCATTGATCTTGACATCTGCGTCATTCCCACTACTCCCGCGAATCATTAAACAGTGCATTTTCAGATTTCTACGCCTCATTGACAGGCAGTTGAGGGCAATTGCCTCTTCTGGAAAAAATATATCAAGGGTGAATAATTATATTTCGTAGCAGTATATTTTCTTAAAATTTGAAATAAAAACAAGAACGATGTTTGATTGTAAAATTACGTAAGTCTCTAGGAAGCACGCCTCTGCATGTACCGTTCTAGGAAAGTTTCCCGGCTACACCTATGCTTTATGTATCTAAGACGAGTAGTTTCTTAACTCAAAAATGCTTGATTAGCACTAGAAAGCTCATCCAGAGGTTTGTATGCGATTATTTTACGTGAACAATGTGTATTTAGCTCACAATAACATTGAATATACAATTGCTTCTGCACTTTTAGTTTTTTCGTGCATATATTGTTAAACTGTGGTGGTTCAAAAAAGTTCTAGATTTGCAGAAAGCAATACCCAGACTTTACTCTATGTGTCGCCTCGTTTTCAATGCATGGAAGAATCTCTTGATAGGACGAATAGGACATAAGTAGACACACTTTTCTGCTTGTTAACGACACATTGTAGTATAGTCCAACTTATATACTTCACAACCTTAATGTGGCTGTAGTTTCCCGTGGGATGCGCGCCTTCTTATACTCAAACCTACGTTACTTAGGAACATCTATTTGAAGATGAACGTATTCATATTTGTCTAAATTTCAAAAAAGTTTATTTCTTTTTTATTCATTCGTTATCATTAGAAGCGGTTCATGATATGGAAACTACTCATTCTCTCAGTTTATCATCACATCCTACTATGCTTCACATAAATACAATTCAAAATTCAAAAAAGCGTTCAACACGAGAAATACTATCGACGGCTGAAGTAAACAATATGAATAAATGGTCATCACAACAAAATGTCATTAATTTACAACAATCAGCGGAAAATTATTTTCTCAATGAGCATATATTTAGTGATTTAACGATAACAGTGAATGGTGGACGAGTCTTCGTAGATAAATCACTTTTAGCGGCTGCATCACCCATTCTACAAAACCATTTTCAAGAAAATCCATCAGTAACAAATATTGATTTAATAGATATTCATCTCGACCAAATGTTAGTTTTATTGAAATTTCTCTATCCACAATTTGACTGTACCTTAACACGAGAAAATGTTAGTTTTCTTGTTGAAATGAGTGAGCGATTTAAATTAAATATTCTTCACATAATGTGTCGAAATTTTATAATATATTATCTATCAAAAGTTCGTGGAGTTAATGACGATAAATATCTAAACAAGAAAAACTATCGGCAAGGTGAACTGCAAGATACCAAGGAAGATCTGATATTGTTTGAAGATGGTTGGTAGTGGCAATATTTTCTTTCAAATGTTTATGATGATTTACAATTGTAGGTACACAAGTAAATGCTCAACGTGAAACTGGACTTTTTCTATCGTGGCTATGTGTTTACTTTGATTCGGATAATATGCGAATAATCGAGCCATTAATGAATGTCATTAAACAATGTAGTATTGAGTGTTTAAAAACAACAATCGATTTAAATGGTTCAGTTAGCTGGAAAATGCAAGCGGCAATTTACAAGGCTCGTGCGCAATATTTAGAGCGAACATTTATTTAATAAAATCAACAACAAATAAAAATATTTTTCAATTCTGACTATCGATTTTATTTTATCCGATATACCTTCCTCCGAAACAGAATGAAAATCGTGTGATTCAGCACGAACAGTATGTTTTAAGGAAAGAATTCATGTAGTTGAACTCTGTTCACTTTCTCACTTCTTCTTAACAGCCAAACACTGGAAAAAGAAGAATTAAGTAGGTGTTCAGGGTACCAAAAATATAGATCAAAGGAAAGTAGAGCACGTCTAACTGTCCGATACTTATTTGAGTCTTTTTTTTGTATTGTTTGAAATGGCAATCGGGGATAATAATCAGACAATGAGCTTGTAAGCTTGACAATGAGAAAAATATTCAGATGTGAAGTTTTTTGACAACGTACAAGTGCATACGGAGTTGAAAGCACAGGAAACGGTTTCGCTAAGAAAATGACCGAATATGATTTTCAGCAAAAATGCTCAGAAATTATCTAAAATGCTTCGCATTTTACTTCTCAACGTGTCTGACTTCCTAAAACTGCTTCTGGCCGACGAGAGAAAAAAGTGTATTCTTATTTTTCGTCATAATTTCTACGAAGGCCATGCACTATATTCCTTAAAGTTTCATATATAAAATCTACGCTCATTCAGAGTATGTGAAAACAAGCCAGCAATTACCCTGAAAGGAATCGAAAAAATCGTAAGTCGTATCTAAATTTTCAATTTTTCCACGCTTTTTCATATTTTTTAACAAATTGATTGTCTCTATGAAGATCAAACCTTTTTCAAAGGCTTTAGAGACTTTAAGACAAGTATCTAGCCCACGAAAAATGTTTTTCAGAAATCCTTTGGGGATCATGAAAAATCTTTTAGAAAACTTTCTAGGAACTTAATTCCAGAAAATAGTGCTAATGCAACCTTGCATATGGCATTCAATACTCTTATTTCATTTGACATTTCCGTCCAAAAACGATCAAGCATTTCTCTACCAACAGGAGGTTCAGCATTTTCCTGTATTTCTGAATTTTTTTTTTATATAAGCTTTATTCTGTCAAAATACAAGCGGAAGAATATTCCATTATAGTATTCTAAACTAAAACTATCGAAAAACACAAAATCAATTTTTGTACGAATAGAGATTCGAACATGTGAACTTAACTTTGTAGTAAACTACAAAACTAAATTCACCGTTCTGTATCTATATTCTGTACAACGATTGAAGTTGTGCTTTTGAATTAATCACTAATGATGTGTCATTGACATTTGACATTATAGAAAAAGTTTACTATTCTTATAATAAGAAATATAGAATCTAAAACAAATATATTACTCAAGTTCCTTATATGACCAAGATTTATAGACAATCTGATTCAATGAGAAAATAATGGCTCTTGGATAAAATTAGAAAAACGTGACACATTTTCCGAGTGTATAAAGAATATCATCCAACATATGCATTGTATGTACAAAACTGTTTTCTATTTATAAAAAATGAAAACCGATAAACATAATTACAGTAGTAGTAATTATAAAACATCTGAATGAACAAATAGCACCGGCAAATTTTGGTAATAGCAATTATTGAGCATTAATGTTTTAGCCAAAGTCAAATGGTGGACAGTGCATCGTTCACTACACAAACGACATTAAAGCAAATTAGACAAAAAAAAGCAAAAGAACAATAGCAGTTAAACTGTTCTATTGTCTGTCGTACACATCTTCAGAGAAAAAGGCTCAAACAAGTGTCCCACAGTTAAGTTAAGGGAATAGCCGCGTTTAAATCTTGTCTACTTTATTTTTTACATAATGCTTGAGAAGAAAAATAAAAATTTGTTGCATAATTTAAAAAATGAAACAAAGAGAGAGTATACATAAACACATATGAGTGAATTGTGCTGATATTGTACCGTTGTAATCCGAAGAATCCAGGAGAAGAGAAAAACTGACCGCTACCACCAACATTCCATCCGAATTCTACTGGACATATCTTATATATAGCTGCAGTTTGTTGAATTATATCACTCAATGTATAAGGTTCGAGTTGTCTGTACCAATTGCGCGGTACACGCTCAACCTTATGTATCTGTTGCAGGAGAAATTAAAATTCCACTGGATTTTAATTTCTCCTGCAACAGACTCATCTTGATCACGACGCGATTGCTGATGTCGTTGTAAACGATATCAGTGTGTGATTAATTTGATTAAATAATAAATTGGGCATAAGTAGTGGTAAAGACTGTATAGATTCACCTCATAGGTGCTTATTAAAAATATTAAAACATATGTTCTGCCTTTTCTCTCGGTATTTTGTTCTATTATTTGTGTAGCAAAAATCCTATATACCACATACACGTTGCTCGCGCTTACATTTTCTGTTTTTGAATGTGTAGGTTTACGATCAGATCACTTTTCATTGCTTTTCTGATAGAGTGAAGCGCTGTTTTTAGTCAGCATCTATGAAGTGAATCTATGTAGCCTTTATCACTACTTATTCCCATAGCTATTTCTAAACGAAAGTGACGAATGCTGAACCCTTTTTATGTTGTCGTGAGGTTAATCTAGCCGATTCTTTCTTAAATTTACTTTCATAATATAAAAGATTTTCGTTTTTAACGACCAAACAACGCGTTAAAGGTTTCAAAACCAACGCTTTTTTTTTGGTTGTTTAATCGCGTTTTTTTTATCTATTCGTTTGAAAACGTGGTTTTCGGAATTTTACAACGCGCTAGAGAATGTGTTTTACGATGAATGCGAACTACAATGAAAACGTTAATTAACGCGTTCTGAAATGATTCAGAAATAAAAGCAGAGGGAAGATACAGAGGTTTGAACCATCAGTTTTGTCCCACTATTTTTCCACTTTTCCCATTCGGTCATATCCTCTTGACATTACATTAGCTGACAACAAACTAATGAAGAGCAGTAGAATGAGTACTTAGCAGTTCGAAATAACGTAAAATTTCAATTCCAGGAAAAAATCGTTAGAAACGGTACGAAAGACGCGTTAGCGAACGATCGTTAACAGAGCCATTTAAACGCGTTTTCTGTCGTTCAAAACTTTAGAATAATGCGTTGTTCGTATACCAGATACAGAACATCCGTTTAGACCACCTCGGGTAACTGCTGCACGTGGCCCTTGTCCTGATTTAAATGCTGCTGTCAAGCATGGTTACATTAATTGAAGTGGTATTGTAACAATAGATGAATTGATAGATGGACTAACAACTATGTACAATATTGGTAGAGATCTTGCTGTTATGTTTGCTGTAGGAAATATTTTTCTTCTTGGTAACCCTGACACTGGTAAATTATCAATCGATCATAGTTCAGATGAAACTGGTGTTATCATGGATAGTATCCCGGATGGTTTAAATCAGCATAATGTATTAGAACTTGATGCGTCATTAACACGTAATGATTATGATTTAGCTAATGATAGCAACGATATACCGTTGTAAACGATATCAGCAATCGTGTCGTGATAATAAGAAGTTTTATTTTGGCTTAAGAGAAGTTCATTTGTATGATGCAGCAAGCTTTCTTTATGGAGTATTTCCAAGTGGTGTAATGACGTGTTAATGACGCATCAAGTTCTAATACATTATGCTGATTTAAACCATC